TTCAGAAGCCGAATCAACATTGGCCTAGGCGGGTTTCCAGGTGGTAAAGGGCGAGAGGGAACTCTGTGGGCTCGCTCCACAGCAAACAGTGGGGACAAGTAGGTCTTCCCAAAGACTTCACATAGCCAGGATTCCATGTAATCAGTGGCATTTGTCCCCTCTGTGCGTTCCGGAATGCCGACCGCTCGGATGTTGTTGCGGCGCAGCCTATTCTCCACATCGTCCATTTTCAGGGTGTGAGCAGAAATATCATGCAGAGCCGTCTTGACATCAGAGAGCAGTGGGGCCGCAGTGTCTTCCAGGCCACTCACCCTGCCTTCCAGGGCAGAAGTGCGGTCCCGCACCTTCTGCAGATCATGGCGCATGAAGGATATGTCAGCTCTCATCCCCTGCACCTGATCAGTGAGAGATGTCAGCGCAGCGTTGCATAGCTGTACTGCCGAGAAGACATCCGAAATGGTGGGCTCATTCAGCCTAGCTTTAGCCTTAGATGCCTTAGTGCCCTTCATAGCTTTAGGCATTTTACTCAAGGTCACTGCGGTATCATCTGGGTCCTCCGACTCAGAGGCAGAGAAGTGTAAGGAATCAGGCCCCATATCCTTCCTCGATACTCGGTCTGCAGAGTAGGAAAGTCGGCGTGCCTTGGCCGGTGTGTCCGGATGATGGGCGAAGCGCTCCAGCCTCACCGCAGCATCCCTGCTTCTATCCCCCGTTTGCTTACTGGGGGTAGGGGTAGCAGGATGCGCGCCGCCGCCATCTTGGATCGCCGATGTGAGGCCTCTGTTGTCCTTCTTCTTAGACATCCCTCGTGTCAAATCGCGGTTCTGCCGCCCACAGGAGTAGATCTCCGGACCCACAACACTTAGTCAGTCCACCGGAGATGCGCACGGGAATCAGGGTAAGCCCAGCAGGGTATTTACAGGATAAATGGTGAGAGAGCTCTCCAGGACACGTCCGATCACATGCGGCTGCTGGCCACGCCCCTTGTCTTCTTCTTTAACACAAAGCTGAACACCCTTGTGCTGTTAAAAAGTTGCTCACTCAGCAGAGCGCCCATTCAGGGAATGCTTAGTATTTTTCTCAATGAATACTTGCGTTCTCTGATTAGACAAGGAGCAGTGCCGTGAGGTCACTGACCCTTGTCCAATGAAAGAACACCTAGTATTTATTAAAAAAATATTTGGTGTCCTCTGAGCAAGAGGCCCTCTGTTTTCTAACAGCACAGGGAAGGTAGTTCAACACAGCGGCTGTTTCTATACCCAGAAGATGCAGATTAGCTGCGGCTACTACAGTGATAATTACACAATCCCCATGGCTCTACCAGGGATCATTTATGTATAAATGTATTGTGGCATGTTTGACCAGTATAACTATACATACATTGTGAAAACTGGAGTTCAGTTTTAAGGTATAATGGGAACCTCTTCACCATTAACATTTAAAATGATTCCATCAAATCCAACAAATCTGTACTGGTATAATATAACTTTGTGGAAAATAAAGAATAACTGCTGTTTGATGACCGAGCAAATTATAAATATCACCAGACCTAGTCTGATAGAGCTGCGGGACAATTTTAGAAAATACTTGTACAAACGTTCAGGGAAACCAACAAACTCCATAAATAAAAAATGTTCTACCTTTGCTGGATAGCGAATACAACTGTGCTCCGTATGCAAGTAATAGGTTGGATACAATATAGACAGGAAGTGTTGCCCCATGGAATCTGATCATCTAGAAATGGAAAACATAAAAATATTTTTTTTTTCATCTTAAAAGTTGTATTTTAGATTTTAGCTAAAAAAAGGTTTTAGGCATTCAAAAATTAACAGCACAGCCATGCACCACACTGTTATGTATTAGTTATGCTTGCTTTACCATTCATTACCACATGTGCCTTTAAAATAAACTTATTCTTTATCCATTAAGCGTGATAGTTTGCACATATGAGAGTTACAAACATAACTGAATAAAAGAAATATGCAGCAATTTCTTTCAGTTTTTTTAAATTTTGGTCAGGCCAGTAACATGCAACAGTGTAAAATGTAAAACACCAGCTTTACTCACCTGCCCTATCATTTGCAAAAAGGAAGTATAAATTGTTACCTATGGAAAAAATTCAAAAGATATTTTCAATTAATTAGAAACTAATATGGCAACAAATTCTATTTAAATGTTAAAAATGCATAATTATAGACAATGAGCACAGAAAATGATAAAGAACATTTTTCAAATTTTACAAAATCATTTACTAAACCTTTACTAGAGAATTATTTATACTGGATGCAAATCCTACTCCAATAAATACTGTGCTTGCATTTAAAGAGACCGAAAATAAAACACCAGAGCAAATTAAATAAAAGCAATCCTTTCTGGTGACCAAAAATAAATAAATTGTTGCTTATGGTGTAAGCGCTTGTGTAATTTAGGTGTAGCTTAATACATGGGAAACTGAACATATAATGCATACTGAGGTCGGTACTATTTTAGACAATGACACTGTTCCAGCACCTTTCATGTCTAATAGAATCTATATTTTTTTACATTTTGTTTGCATTTTCATACCCATAAAAGGTGCACCAGAAAATCTATGAACATGGCATAACAGTCATATATAAGAACTTATTTAAAAAATGGAGACCTGTGCATTTTCTTCAATATGTTATATAATTGATTAGGGCTTTGCAGATGTCCAAACCACAGAGATTAAGAAATATTGTTCAAATTAAAATTCAATGTATTGAATTACTCAAATAAAAGCATTAAAACCCAGCTTTGATTGTAATGTATGTTCCAGAAACCAGTATGTGTACTGTACAGCGAGGAAAATAATTGTTTGATCCCCTGCAGATTGTGTAAGTTTGCCCACTTACAAAGAAATGAAAGGTCTATCATTTTTATCATAGGTGTATTTTAAAAACGATACAGGCAGAATATCAACCAAAAATCCAGAAAAAACACATGATACAAATTTATAAATTGAGTTGCAGTTCGGTGAGTAAAATAAGTATTTGATCCCCTACCAACCATCAATAATTCTGGCTCCTGCAGACTGGCTATGTGGTACACAGATTAGTCCTGCCAATTTAAGAAGGTGCTCCTAACGACAACTCGTCATGTATATAAAAGACAACTGTCCACAGAATCTTTCTTCCATTCAAACCTCACCACCATGGGCAAGACCAAAGAGCTGTCAAAGGACGTTGGGGACAAGATTGTAGACCTGCACAAGGCTGGAATGGGATACAAAACTATCAGCAAGAAGCTTGGTGGGAAGGAAACAACTGTTGGAGCAATTATTCACAAATGGAAGGAATACAAAATAACCATCAATCTCATGGGGTAAGGATGATCATGAGAAAAGTGAGGGATCAGCCCAGAAATACACAGGAGGAGCATGTGAATGATCTCAAGGCAGTTAGGATCACAGTCACTAAACCAACCATTGGTAACACAATACACCTCCACGGATTGAGATCCTGCAGCGCCCGCAAGGTCCCCTTCCTCAAGAAGGAACATGTACAGGCCTGTCTGAAGTTTGCCAATGAACATCTAAATGATTCAGAGAAGGATTGGGAGAAAGTGCTGCGGTCAGATGAGACTCTTTGGCATTAACTCGAGTCTCCGTGTTTGGAGGAAGAAAAGTGCCGACTATGACCCTAAGAACACCATCCCTACAGTAAAGCACGGAGGTGGAAACATTATGCTTTGGGGCTGTTTCTCTGCTATAGGTACAGGCCGACTTTGCCGAATTGAGGGGCCAATGAACGGGACCATGTATTGTAAAATCTTGAATGAGAACCTCCTTCCATCAAGCCAGAACACTGAAGATGGGTTGTGGATGGGTCTTTCAGCATGACAATGACCCAAAACATACCGCCAAGGCAACAAAGCAGTGGCTCAAGAAGAAGCACATTGGGGCGCGTGTCCTGCTCATGGCGGAGTAAGTCGCACGCGCTCGAGCTCCGTGCTGTTATCTGCCCACATACTCCTGAAAACCACTTATACCATCCCAACTTTGCCCACCAAACGATGTCTAAACGGCGGAAGGAGGGCACGCCCGCTTCGCAGATAGGGACCCCGCCTCTACAGCACTTTTTCACCTCGACTCGGAACCGGACCCGAGGCCGCGACTTATCCAATATGGCGTCCGAACTTCGCTCACCACGAGGCAATGCCCGTTCCATCTCTCCCGCACCCAGCGAGACGCCCTCTGGAATGCACTCACCTCGGGTGTACGACTCTGACTCCACGGATGCCGACCAGTACCCGTCCCGCAAGCTGCCCACTAACGTGCCGCTGGAGTTCCGGGCCTTGCTAAAATATCTCCCCACCAAAGAAGACTTTGCGGCCCTGGTTACTAGAGTGGAAGCAGCCCTCCAACGGGACCCAGGGAAGGTGCGACAAGAAGTCCAAACGGTCGCCACCAAGGGTTGCCTCAGTGTCTCATTAACTACGTCTCATTAACTACGCATGAAGGACCTCGAGGACCGCAACAGACGCCAGAACATATGGATTCGGGGCCTACCTGAGGCGACTACCCCCTCTGACCTCCGCTCCACAGTACAGGCGGTCTTCGGTTCCTTGCTCCCGGACACAGCTCCTGACACTATCCTGCTGGATAGGGTACACCGCACCCTAGGCCCCCCCTTCCACGGACGTCTCCCGCCCCAGAGATGTCGTTTTGCCGACTCCAAAATTACTCCGTAAAAGAAGACATCCTCCGCCAGGCTTGGCTGAAAAAGCCGGTTGAATTCGATAGAGCGGAATTGCAGATATTGCCAGACCTGTCACGTAACACCCTGTGATGCCGTGCCATGCTAAGACCCCTTCTCTCTGTGATCCTGAAGGCAGACGCCTCGTACCGATGGGGGTACCCGATCCGCTTACATGTACGCAAGGACGGTTCCTCATTTACAGTTCGGACCCCGACTGATGTACTGACCCTCTACGACCTTCTCCAGGTCCCTCCGGTCTTGCTGCCAGACTGGCTGACCCATCTCCCGGATGATGCACCTACGTCCCCGAAACCACGCGGGGCTCGGCGCCCTCGCCGGGCCTCTTCTACGGCCCCTCCTGACCGGCGCCCAGGAGATCCTCCGGATACAGCAGAACTATGAGTGGACTGGTGAGAGATAGCTTCTTCCCCCTCTCCCCCGGAGACGAATGATCCCAACGCGCCTAGTTCCTAGGGATCGCCGATGGATTGGCTTTACGGGCAACTTGGGCCTACCACCCCGGACACTTTCACTGCCCCGTGATGACCGGCCCTGGCTTGCGGCCTTGGCCGAAACTGTGAAACCCACGCTGACTACCTTCCACCGGCAGGCCCCGGCCCTCCAGTATCCTTATGTTTTTGCTCCCCCCCGAGCTCCAGCACGTCTCCATTAGCCTGCAGGCTAGCTTGTCTGTGGACACTGGAGACTCGGGCCTGAGAGACTGGGTCGGCCCACTATATGTTTATTTCCAAAGTTTTAGGGACTCTATGCTCAGGGCCGTTTAAAGTCACAAGCTCGGGGGCCTCTTTACCACTACCTTTAGTAGTTTAAGATGTTGATTTAAGTCTCCCTGTGGAGGTGGAGGGCCCAACACTGTTTTCACTGCTGGGTTGGGGGAGGGGGCGGAGGGCTCCCGCAGCCCTGGGGAATCGGGTGTTGCCTCCCGGTCTTGTGAGATCCAGGGGACCCCGGGAGTTGCGCGCCTACACCGCCCATCCCCCTCCTCGACTTGCCGGCCTCCGGTATCCCAATACCAGGTGCTCATCCTGTACCACAGTTGGGACTGGTTCCCTACATACCGGTTTGTTCAGGTATGTTCCCTACCAAACGGTTGTTAACCCACGGAGCCACGCTCCGCCTTGCTCAGACTCGTTACCCCACTAGTTAGTCCCTGCAGAGCCTGTATTGCTACAGGGATTGTGAACCTCGGTTCACCATTTAGTTAAACAGACACAAGTGTTCAATACTTGTTTATTCTAACCCACCCACTCGTACCCATCAGTGTACCCTCACCCTCCAGTCTTTGTCAGTGTTATCCCCCTCTTTCCCCCCTTGCTGGTCTTCCCTAACCCTCTGTAACCCCTCCCCCGATCGCTTAATGTTAGAGGCCTAAACGTGCCGGAGAATCGGAGGATGGTGCTCACGGGCCTACACAGACAGAAAATACAGGTGAGCTTCTTGCAGGAGACTCATTTTGCCGATGGGCGGGCTCCCTCGTTCCGCGATCGCCACTTCCCCACCACATACCACAGTTATTCTCCGGACAAATAGTCGCGGGGCGTCTGTATATTGCTTAACCGCACACTGCCATGGAACCCCCTGGAGGTATCCGCGGGGTAGGAGGGCCGTCTCCTCATGGTAAAGAGCCTGATAGGAGATAGAAAGGTGACACTGGCGAACATTTATGCCCCAAACCAGGGCCAAGTAGCCTTTTTGGAACGGGTGTTGTTGCCGATGGATGACTTCCGGGAGGGAGGGAGTGTTAGTGGTTGGGGGTGACTCCAATCTCCACCTAGACCCCGAAACGGACTCCACAAATCCATCCTCCCACCTGCCTTATGCAGCACTGAGACGCCTCAAAAAATGTTTCAAAGCCCACCAACTTTCCGATATCTGGCGCTTACACCATCCCACCACTAGAGACTACTCCTTTCACTCAGCGGTACACAATACCTACACACGTATTGACTTCTTCCTAGTGCACCACAGCAGTCTACCGCTGGTCTCGCAAACAGAGATAGGCATCATCACATACTCAGACCACGCCCCGATTATGCTCACACTGGTGTTGGGTCCCCAGGAGCCTAAGTGCTGGCACTGGCGCCTCAATGAGATGCTCATACAGGACCATGTGATGAGCTCCGAGTTCGAAAGTGACTTACGCACATATTTTGAACTGAACTCTACGCCGGACTGCTCGCCCTACACCATGTGGGAGGCTCATAAGACCTATATCAGGGGTACCCTGATTAAACTGGGAGCCAGATGCAAGAAACAATGGCTAGGTCAGCAATCCTCACTATTAACACAAATCCACGCTCTTGAACTCTTACATAAACAGCGCCAAGACCCTGCCCTTCTGGCTCAACTACGCTCCCTACGCGATTC